GGCCTTTCAGGATTTATGAATTAAAGCTTCCACACCTAAGGAGTCTGACTCAGTAGACGTCTTCACACTTGGCAGACACAACTCCACACAGTACAAAGGAGATGTTGGGGATGAGAAAAAAGTGAGCACGATTCTCATCCTTGCTACAGCATCTATTAAAAAAACCAGTGTGATACTTGGTGCATGAGAGACTGCAAGACAGACCTTCCCTCTCTAAATTAACAGGTGAATGGTTATTATATCTGCATCTCAATATTGAAGAATAAGTAATTAAAGTAGAAAAGTTTCATCAGGAGTGACTGAGAGCATAGTGACCAGTTCACTCCTGTAGGAGGGCTCAGTTCAGGACAATTAAGGAGAGAGCAGAAAATTAGTTGGTCTGGTGTTTCACGAGTCCTTCAATTACCGAGGAACTAGATAAAGGGGCTGCAGCATATCCTCTTCACCTCTTCAAAAAAGGACTGTTTTCAGCTAAGATTTGGAATAAAGGGTAAGAATCCAAAATGAAGACAGGAATTCTGTTCCACACAAAGTGGAACAAACCCATGTCCATGTGTTCATTTACGAACTGGTAACTTAGGCAGAACCCTTTCCATTATGCCATTTTTTTGGCTCCTACCTCCTTTCATATGTTAGACGGACAGTCTAGGAATCATGTTTGGATGTTATGATCCCTACTAGTTATTACAGTACAGAACTCAGGTGCTGTAACCAACAAATACAGAAAAATACACTTTGTGGAGCTGCTTTGTGGACTGGGACTTAAACATGCAGCCTGAACACACTCTATAAACCATCTCTCCTATCCATTATTCCTAGATGCACTGCTTCTTAGAAGCATGCTTCCTGGCTCTCTTCTCCTTTCACCACTATTTGGAAGAGGAGGCTGGCCAAAAGATGACAACTACATGACAAGACAAATCACAAATCGAACCCTCCGTGGTCACTAGCCGGGGATACTTACATATATTTACAAAAATAGTTCAGCTACAGACCAGGTTTGAAGACAATATTCCCAGCAGTATAGACTTATTGCACAAAAGGTGCAGAGTCAAACTGTTTCCACAGAAGCATACAGATGTATTATTAACATTTATATGTAACAAAAACACAACCTTCACAACTCTATCCTTACAATTAAGTTTTTAAACTTTGTCTTTCTAACTGACATGAGACACATTTTTTAAGATTTTGTACAACTGGCATCAGATTTTTTAACATGCTAGAAAGAATTGAGCCAAAGATGATATCACAAAGTCCCTTATGCTTAAGGAAAAATGTTAAATCAATTAGCAGTTGCTAGAATAAAGAAGCAACAATTTGAAGTATAAGATCCTTAACAAAATAAAAAACTTTTCATGTTCTTCTGAAAGTGGTTATATTATGCAACAAGAAAACTGAAACATACTCTCATCTCTTTAATGTTTCAAAAGCTTTATTAGCATATGCTTCAGAAATTATAATCAAAGAGTAGTAGTCACTAGCCAAAACTTTGAAGAGTTTATAAACATACATGTAGAGACTATGCCTTAGAGAGTTAATGTACTATTTTGAATTCAAGTATTGCAATAGGACTTAGCTTTGACACAGAATGTTCACACCCTCTGTAATAAATTCCTCTAACATATTTCATATTTCTTCCCATGTGAATGAGTGTCCTTGGAAGAATTATCTACTAGATAAAATTTGAAGATGAAATCTAAGTCTAGACTTATTTAAGGGGGGCGGAGACTGATCTCATAATCTATGACAGTTGTTGATTAATGAGTTGCCCATGATTGCTGCAGGCCTGTCCAATCTGCAGAAGCAAACAATACTATAGGACTGGGAGGAATGTGCTATCTGGATGCCACACCTTTGTTGAAACTTAGAACTCACTCAGACTTCTGCTATGTTTATTCTAGCCTTGAACTACTAGATGTGCACAACTAAATATATAGTAACATACACGTGTCCCCTCGCTACTTGTCTGCTGCCTCTGTGGCAGAACTTCTGTGTCACAGAATATTCACAATGTAAGTATGGCCACTTGTAGCAGTCATGGTACATACTGTATGGGGTTCAAAGTTTTTGCTGGTAGTGGTCTTGTACAAACAAATTCAAAACTTCCTGGAGTAGAATAGTACTATCACATCCTGAGCAGGTTTGGTCTTGTCTTACAGTCCGAAGAATTTAATTTATATGTACACATATGCATACCCTCACACACATACGTATATATGCATATGACATGTCAGTATATACACATATATAATGCATAATGAATACACTGCACAAACACAGTACTTTCTGTATAACTAAGGAAACTGCTATTCAATCCTGTTTCAAGGTTGAAACTGAACATGATTTAAATTTATAATAAAAATGTATGTTACCTAATCTTTGGTGATAACATGATAATTTCTGATTACATCTTTCAAAAGCCTTTAAGGAAAATTTTAAAAACTTTCATAACTTTGCTTATAAAATAACTATGTTCTTAAAGTGAAAACAATCCATACAAATTATTAAGCATTCCCTGCACCCTGGTGTCCAAGCTCCAGACCCAGGGAAAACAAAAGCCAAAAGAAAAAAAAAGGCACAAACAGAAAAACTAGTCTTTGTAATCCCTCAAAATACACAAGAGGAATTTAATTACCTTTAGCTGAACACATGGCTCCTTTTGGTTTATCTGTTTGTAATTATTCTCCTTTTTCTGACTTTTGGAGATAGTGGTCTTTCTAAAAGCGTGCAGAAAAAGAACATCTTAAAACAACTACATCATCATGATCATTATCACACCTTGAGCACACTGACTCTTTCAACCTCATTAGACAATGAAACCCTAGGGCTATTCAGCAGTGTCATTAGGTGCAAGAACAAGGCTAAAATCCCACAAATAAGACAGGAAATCACATCTTGTTCAATTTACACCACACAAAATACCAATGGTTTTCAATTACATTTTTTAAAGTTGTAAATAAATCCTCTCTCTAATCTTGACACCTTTTCAGGGATTTGTTTGCATGGAAGAGCAATGAAACACAAACTAAACTGGTGACCAATTAAGACACTTCAGTTACTCTCTTCGCTTTGCATTTATGAGTTGGTTTTGGTATGTGAAGTGACACTACAACCAAACCCCTTACTTTACTCCCTAAGTATCCAGTTTCCAAGTAGCAGATTTCAAGTAGCACAATATTCTACCCTCTCCTGTTTTGGAGAGACCCGTTATTTTATGTTCTGTCCAACAAATCTGATTATGGTTAAATGCATCAAAGACCAATGACTGAGGAAAATATGAAACAGCTGCAAATGACACATCCTGAGGTTTATTGTTATGAATGCAGCTGGTTAAAAGCAGTTCTAGAAAAGCATTGATATGAACCTTGGTGTAGGACCATGAGTAATTGCATTCAGACTGACAGAACTGCAACAATTTAGCACAAAATGGCTCTGCAAATCTCAGAGAAATATTCCATAGAACAACATCCTCCAAGTGATCTTAACTGTATCATTAGACAACCTTAGAATAAATAAAACACCATATTGCTTCATAGCAGGTGAGATACTCAGAAGCACTGACCAACTTAAGCCATTCAGACAATTCTGAAAACTTAATCCAGAAATTCAGTAAAACTAATAGGAATGTGAGTTAATTCAATAATACTGAAAACACAAATGCTTTCACAGATTAAAGGATAAAATGAAATGTGTTATATGAAGTCACACATTAATTTCTGCATGACACTGAGAATTTCTAGGCAATTTATTAGACTGAACTTGCATTTAGACTTTTGAGAGGTAATCAGCTGATGGTAACAAGACCTACCTGTATTATAACTTTTCAATATCCAACTCAGTGAGGTGCAGAAGAACTCACTATCCACTTGAACTCAACAGGAGCAGGAGAAAAAGCTGCTTATGTCTATGGACCATGAGATAACCTTTCAGGAAACCTGTGGGGACCAAGGCTCACTCACCCATGAAGTACTGTGGAGAAAAGCATGCCTTTGCAAAGAACTGAAGGAGCTAAGTCTAACCACTTGAAGGAAAATTTGCCAGATCATAACTTTCGTCAAGAAAAGTCAGCCTTTATAGAAGTATTTCTGTTACAAATGACTCTCCTGTGGAAGCAGAATTCTAATACTGCTATTAATCACAAGCACTGCAACCATCATAACACGTCACTTAGTAACAAGACAGTAAGTGATTAACACATCTTTTGCTAAAATATTGTTCTTTTAGAACTATTTCAACATCACTAGAAAGTACTTTTAAAAATTATCCTACTAGTACTCACTTTGCAACAATATTCAAACTGTTGACTACAAAGAAAGGACTCAAATTGCTACGATATGACAGTATCTTCTCCTGAGAAAAGGAATGGAGAGACCACTGTGACAGCAAAATTATTTTCTGAGATCAAAACTACTAGTTAAAGGCACGGATCTATCCAGTCTTATGTGACAGTATTTAAAGTTATTAGATTTTTTTTTTTAAATAGACATTCACAGAAGCTACTTAATCAGTGCTTGTTAGAAAAACAGAGGCAGCTCAATAACCAGCCCGTATATCAAAGTTATGAAACAGAAATCCATCAGCATAGACTAGTATTTTTTCCTCCTATTAACATAATTATTTCCTACTCAGTAAAAATGGAAATGACATGTTAGCATTTCAAAAACACAAAGAAAATGACCCTCTAGGCTTTATATGACTATCAAAACAAGCACCAGTATTTTATTTGCAAATTATCGTGCATAAAATGATCAACTCAGCAAGTTTACCAGTCAACAAAGCGTGTGCTCTACCAGTTATAATCAATTTACATGTAATGATATGTCTAAATATGAATTTAAATGAGTTCTTGTCATTTCATGTTGATCAGATGCTTCAACATCATAGATACGGACAGTGACCATAGTTAATGTTGCAGAAACAGCAGAGCATGCACAAGTTTTGCGAGCCAATGGTAATAAAACACAAAGAAATTTGTTTTCATAAAAAAAAGACAAGTCTCTGACTACTAAACCACATTTATTTTCCAGTCAAGTTAACAAAAATACTTTCTAAGATGTTATTTCCACATCCACAGCAAATATGCAGTATGAATCACAAGAGTTTTCTCACCTTGTAACCTATTGGATTTCTCTTTCAATGTATGAAAAGAACCCTGAGGCAGCCACAGAATAAAGAATATTTCAGTATCATCCCCATTGTATATAAATATACATTATTAGGACCTGCAAAAGGAATATTCTGGAGATTAAGAGAATTCTAGTTTCTTTAACAGCGCTTTAGTTGAATCCCTGCATTACAATCTTTAATACAGTCAGAAAAAATTTAAAATAACTGGGGCACATGAAATAAAGTCCCTTCATAGCAGACAGTGTTGATCAGATGATAGGTTGGAAGAATGCAAGACAAAGTCAGGTTTAACATACAGGAATGAATAATTAAAGCCTGGCCTCAAAAATGTCTTCATTTAATGCAATTAAATGAATACAATGGCGATGACTTAATCAAAAGGATGCCATTATGTGCTAAAGCTAATTTAATTTTACTTAAAATAGTGTCAGATAAATAAAGCCTAACATTTTCCAAACAATAATCCTTTTAATTTCCTTAGCTTTATTAATGTACATATTCAGGTAGAATACAGAAATATAATTTTTACTGATATACAGAACCATTTTAATGCATATTTGGTACAATTTCTAATTTTTGGTGTTTAGTAGTCACTTTTGATAAAATGGTACAGCAGATTTATTCTTAACATCACATATAGGTTTTGCCTATATAAAGATTATACAGAGCTTTTTCAATTATGGAATGGTATGTTTCACATATATGAAATTTTAAAAATGCTGCATGAACCTTTGACCTTGCCAATACACTGATCAACCTTCAGAAATGGTAATGAGCATGAGTTGAAACACATTTCTATCTGGGCCCCGTACAAGTATGGACACATTCAAAATGTTGTAACGTCAGTATGATTTGCTTTTTACATCGGTGGTTGTGATATTCCAGGTGCAGATGCAAAGTGCACCTTAATGGTCCTCATAGCAGTACTTTTATCCCACTGTATTTTAAAGGCATCCTTTTACTCTCCTTTGTAGCGAGGAGGTCTCTTCTCCTTAAATGCAAGAAGACCTTCAATTCTATCTTTTGTTGGAATAGTCTGCAATGAGCAGAGCAACAATTTATTATTGACACCAAAAACAACACCAAGAAAAATATTTTCATACAAATCCTAGTCTTCAATGCACCCAACATGCAACATATAATACAACAGAAAAATGAAAACTAAAATGTCTAGGCAGATATGGGAAAGTACCGGACACTTCAAAGGCATGATATAAGGCTGAGAAACAATTTGGGAGAAAACAGATGGCTGTGAGAAACTCTTTAGGGTTTGCTTTTGAGTTTTTGGTGATTTTGTTTTGGGAGTTTTTTGGAGGGTGGATAGGTTATTAATCAGACCATCATGTATTTTAGAGAAGCATCTAACGCTGATTCTTCTGTTTCCATGATTGAAAGCTTGCCTCAAAGTCCAAGAACACACAAACTCAAGTACATCATTCCTATGTTTCAATGACAAAGAGGTTTGTCTTTATTTTCTGTTGGTTGGCACATATGCCATTAGTGGCACAAATGACTGAAGTGCCCTTCATGTTATTTCATGTTGAACCAAAACAAAGCAAAAGCAAGGCGGTTCTTGGACTTGATGAATGGCAATGTATGACCAGCTAGGTATATGGCTGGTAGTGCTCCACTACCTTTCCCCCTAACAGTCTTGGCAAGGAGATGTTTTTGTTCTAAACTATACCTCCTTCCTTGAATTCCTTATAATACCAAAGTAGAAGGAAGGCCTCACTACAATACCAAAATATTTGTAGAGGAAACATATAGCAATTTCTAGATTAATTTCTGCATGTTTCATAACAGGCACCAACAAAGCCTGTTTTCTGGGTTTTTTTGTGTAATCATAGCTACATACCTGAGCGTAACAAGCTTCTTCAATTGCTAAACCTGTTACTAAGTCGACCTGAGGAAAAGAATATGATGGTTTTTAAAAGCATGTTTTTGTATATTTATTATGTATTATTTCCTAACAGCTAACTTAAATACTGTGTTTCTATATGCCACATACTAAAACACATCTACAAAGTTCTTCTACCCTACTTTAACATAGAAATGCTATACTGCCATGTGGCAAGAGTGGTTAGTATTTCTGTAAGTTTCCTTATTTGGCAATATAATTAGCATGTAATATACTGACAAAACAATGTATATTCTTCACTACAAATCACTGGGACTAAAACCCGTTAGCTACTTGCACATTTGTAATAATTTCTTTTACTACAGAGGAGAAGATTTAATGCACTGCATTATGTAAAAATTGCTCTGAAAGAAGTTATCTTCAAAATGTTATATAAGAACATGATGCCATGCCACAAAACAAACATAAGTTGAAGTTTAAAGGGATTTAAAATTTTAAAAAGAGGCCAATGGCCATCCTGCATCATTACCTAGTTTTAATAATATTTTTTTCTTTATGAGCTGGTCTGAACAGCTGAAAAGGTTGAATTTTCCCCTCACTACTCCTCTGCCTATTTTAAGCATCAGCTGCTGCAGAAATTACCAGCTCTCCACATGGTCACTGAAAGGACTGCGGCTATGCAGCACAAGCAATTTGTCAAGGGGAGATAAACTATACGATAAATTACCAAAGGAAGGCATGAAATCTCTGCCATGGAAGGTTCACAACAACAGCTTGAATGAACATTTGCCATGATTGGTTTTGATAGATCTTGTCATGGGACCTCAAGACTGAACTAGATGATCATTCAGAGTCCTTCTTAACCCTACTGTCCCTAATTCTATAAACATCATGATTCTGACCTTTCAGTGCACTATACCTGGTAGCTAGGTAATGTAGCTTGTAGCATTTTGAACCTTGAGTACCACTGAAATAAATCTTGAATTCCATCATTACTTGCTGTGGAAACCTAACAAACATTCTCTTTGCACAACAGTATCTGAGTTTGATTCTTGGGCCAAAACTTACTGGCGGTACCCTTTGCTGAACCCAATCATATCACTGGCTGCTTCTGAGACTTCAAGAAAAAAAGGACCATTCTTAAATTTGTCTTCTTGTATTCAGAAGTTGTATGCAGTGTGATGCCTTTTCCCTTGTCCCAGGATGAGCTATAAGGTGTCCTGGTGCAAAGCTTATGCATGTGCTTAACTTTAAATATGAATAGTCCTGTTGAGCTCAGAAAGATGATTCACAAACCTAAAGTAAAACACATGTCCAAACATATTCAGGGCTGGATTTTAATGAGCTTTAGAGACAGGTCAATAGTGCTCATGAAGGAGTGGCAATCAGAGTCAAATATTAAATCGGACTCTAGATAATTTTAACACTAATCTCTATTAAACTATTAAAATTAAATAACATGCCTTTTGGCCTTTAACTTTATTAGTTGCTAAAAACACTGAGAGAATTGACAGACTGTCTTGACAGAGTATGACTTTAAGGGTTTTTTCTGACCAGCATTTGAAATACAACTTGTTCATAGCAGTTTATGTTTACTTTCTAGTCTTAATAATTAGCAGAGTGCATTACTCCTGGACAGATATGAGGTTACTAAGACTCATTATGGAAATCAGCATCAACTCTAGTCTCAAGAGTCTGAGACATAAAAAATTTGCATTTCACTTTTTAAAAAGCTTTGATGAAATAGGTTTTGAAAGACTGTACACTGAGAAACTAAAAACAGTTCTAGAAAAAAACCCAACACAGTAGACCTGCTGCCAGCCTGACTTCTGCTTACTCTTACGGAAAGTACAGATCCTTACCTCCATTCCCTGATTGATCGCCAGTTTTGCAACTCTCATTGCTACTGGTCCCTAAAATGTAAGAAAAAGCTTATTTACATATTATCGAAGTCTACAAGATTATGCAGTGAAGAGCCTGCACATTGATGTTTTTATACTGGGACCTTCTAGACTTCAGATATTTATTAAATTTACAGCGAATAGGTTAAACACCCTAAATTACATTATGCAGTAGACATTTGCTTTCAAACAGATAGTTTCAATATGGAGAAAAAGTTAAAAGTATGCTGTTTTCAGAAGAATCTAATTAATGTGTTTTGTTTATGTTTCAAAGGTGTTGAGGTCTACTTTTGTCCAGCTTGCTCAGTTCCCTTCAAAATGGCCACCTTAAAAGACATGATTATAAGTCTTCCCAAGGTCAATGTTATGTCTCTATTATAACATAATGGAGACACATGAAAAGATGTGATAATGAAATAAAATGAACTGATACAGCTTCAAACCTAAAATATGCTACTGCAAAGCATGCACTGGTCAAGCGATGACACTCATCACTGAGTGACTGACATCTATAGCAAGGTCCACCTTCCTCCAACATGCCACAGAGCAGCTAGACATCTTTGGAAATCTCCTTGGTCCTGTGCCTATTCACCAGGATCGGCTTCTGAATGTTCAGACATTGCTTTAGAGAAGTGGCCTGCTGCTTTGGGAAAAGCCAAATACTTTTGAGCTAGTTCCAATGCAAAGTTGTAACTAAAAATCAACATTCCAGAATCACTGTACGTTACAATTTTTGCTGAATTTTTCATGTCTTTCTGTGAGAGTGTTCAGGACACAAATAACCAATGTTAAATGCCATATTTAATCTGTAACATTTTCCGTTTTCAACGAAAAATTTTAACTGTTACACTCATGATCCAATAAAGTGGTTTACTAATTATTTTTTCCTTCTGCCTCCTACAAATTTTCTACCTAGGACCCATCACTTGAAAAGCAGGTTTATCAAAAGCTCCAAACTCACATTCCTACTCTGAACAAACAGCTTGCAGCTCATGGCAACATGGGAACAGGTAGCAATCAGCTAACACAAAGACTGCTGTAAGGGTCATATTTAAACTTCTTACTAAAATTTACAAGTTCTAAAGCACAGGAATTCCGCAAATTAATTTCAAATTTTTTATGAAAGACATAGGATGTCACTTAGAATGAATGAGTATAACATCATCAAGCTTATACACAAAGGACAGAGAGCAAACTTTCTACTAGTAAATGGGTTTACTTTAATACTAAAATTACATTCAGCTTTATGTTTTCAAAATAGGAGTTACATCATGATATGTCTACCTGCATATGGATCTTTTAGCCTCCTTCTGAAGTGTTCAACGGCAACAGAATAAGCTATTGAGATAATCGCTTTTACTAAAAAAACCCCATATACTATTTTTTTTGTTTAAAACTTGAAAGATAAAATGCACTATAAAAACACAGACCATATCATGATGATATGAGGATTGCCAGGTTTTTTGCTTCACTATGAAATAGTTACCACACAACACCAGTCAATACCCAAGACAGAAAACTTCTGATTGCTCTCCACATACCTAGAATGGCTTTTTAAAATAAAACTTCATGATAATTTTTCTTAATACAGCTCATTCTTTTTCAGTTTTAATGTTTGGTGAAAACAAAAATAATAATTTGTTTTACCTGAGGTAAAAATTCTCTTGCCAGAGCTAATGCTCTTCTGTATGCAGCATCCCCTGCTTCATTCTGTTCTACCACATGGCTAATCAATCCTATTGATTTTGCTTCCTCACCATCTACAATACGTGCAGAGAAGATTAGTTCTTTTGCCAAAGACACTCCAATTGTGCGAGGTAATCTCTGTGTCCCCCCTAAAGTTTGGAAAAAGAGAAAATGCTGGTATTAGTTTCCCATACATTTATACCACAAATGTAGATGCCTTGTTCAATTCAAATATTTTTAATTCCAAAAAAATTATATGACCATACAGAAATTAAACCATCATATAAAGGCATTCCTAAATGCCTTCTCCAGTTTTAAAAATACATCTAAAATGAAATTGATTGCTCTGTTTCTTAGAAAGACATGTAAATAACTGAAAGGAGGCAGTATTAATAGAGATTCTGTTTGATTACAGACAAGTTACCTTTTTCATATTAGCCAAAAGCTGACGGAAAACTTGCCAGTAATTACCATATCCCAAATTTTTTTTTAACAATCTGTATATTTTTTATGATATTAGTCACCACAATATGAATACTTTTGAAGAACTATACTCAAAAGGAATACATATTCTTAACAAAACTGTAGTCCATTCTAAAACTTGCACACATTAGGGACAATATTTATATGTAAACTAAACTAAAACAATTAGACAAGGTCTGAAAAGCCATGGTTTTGTCTTTTCTTTCTTCCATATTAAAGTTAAAATCTTAAAGCTAGATTACAAAAACTAGGGAAGGACAATAGCAGGTGTGGATCAACAGAGAAAGGTGGCTAACTTTAGTTAGCTTTTCCTACTGTTAAAAAACTTCTTCGGTAGATCAGCATTTTCAGAAGGTCAGTACGCAGTAACTACATTAACCCGACATGTGAAGGTTGCTTAGCTGGACTAACAATTAACTTCCCAGAACTGACAAAGAGCAAGAATGTACGAGTAATCATTATCAGAACTGAAGAAGTAGACTTAAATCACAGTAGCAGATGTTTGTTTGAATTAAAACAGTGCAAATAGCCTTTACCCAGGAAAAAGGATTTTGAAAATATACAAGGTCTAACATTTTGACACAGATCTGAAAGAAATAGTCAATTTATATAGGCAGTCTCTAAGCAAAAATTTCATTCCAAATAGCTATTTCTGCAAGAGCATGTTAATATATTCAAATATAAATGCAAGAGGAATATTTATAGGAGGTGTTCAAAGGGAGGTGGTACATCACTGGATAAACGTGTGTTCAACTAATATAAAATAGATTATTTCCACTACATAATGGTGGACTAAGCTAGTATTTTACTGAAGCCATTCAGTTATGTTTCCTGAAAGTACTTTAAATAAATGTCTGAGACAAATAAACTGACTGGAAACAAATAAAAAGTTTTTGTGATTCAATGATTCAGCTTTCAACTATTGTTTTTTATTAATCACGAGCTTCATTACTACTGTATTTCTTTCCATAAAAACAGACCTACCTTTGAACACATTACATCATACAAAAATGCAGAAGGTTGGGGGTATTTCTACTTTACACCTTTCTAGAATACTACAAAATCATGATCTGTAACAAAACTTGAGATACATCTTCTAGGCTGAAACTGGAGGAATTAAAAAAAAAAAATGCTTACACTCATAACAGCTAAAATAAAATTTGTAGAACATTTGCAAATATAAATAATGCGATATTCTCTATGGTCCTACCACTCTGAGATTTCAACAAGACAGTCCTAATGGTCAATGGCAACAGGGAACAGCATGAGAAACTCCTGTTCAATAAATTCTGCTAATTGTACAGCTCAGCCAGTGATAGTGGTAGGGGGAAAATTTTGCTAACAGCATAATTTAGAGAAAGCTCCTACTCTAGGGCATTTTTATGAAAGACACAGAGAGGAAACTAAACCAAAACCCCTGGTAAAATATTACAAACCCTGAAGCCTAAGCTTCCTGTTAACCTTGGCTGCCTCACTGGTGAGATTCACAGAGAATGACTAAAGCTGTAGCTATCAACTTTTATATCAGAACTCACATAAAAATGTGAGCCATGTTTTCAAGAAATTTGTTGCCCCTGATATGGAGCTGTACCACCATCACCATTTACTGGCTTTTTTGTTTGAAATACTGAATACGTCTTGTCACATCCTAATCAACATCCATCTTTTAAGTGTAATCCACATTTTAAGTGTACATCAGAACATAGCAAATGTCTACCCTGATTTTCTTTAAGAATAATTTGGTCATAAATTATCCCTTTTGCCATCATAACTGGAATCTAGAAAAGCATCAGGTTTGGCTTTTTACTAAAGAAAACTCTTTGTCCAAATCATAAGACCTGAAACCATATGAGGCTCAATTTACTGACACCACATCTGCTGCTGCTTCTTTGCTTGCTATGCCTATTATTTTTTCTAGTTAATTATCTCCCCTTCCTTTACTGTTTTATGTCTTCTGTTACTGCTTTTACCAGGAAATGTTGAAAACAAAATTTAATTGAGCAACAATATTTCATAACTTTGACCAAACAATGGATATGTTTAAGCATGAAATAGTGTTTATAGACGAAAAAAAAGTGTTCTTGCCAGGGTCTTACACAATAAGGATTAAAGAGCGAAAAAAAAAGCAGTCTATAGTCTATGTTGTTTGGCTGCCTCCTACACTGCAAAGCCATTAAGCAGAGGAGCATATTCTTTGATTAATATTCACAGAATGGAAGCCAACAGTTCAGTACATCAATCATATATATGCAGTAGTAGGAATAAGATATATGCATACACAAAAACAGTAAGACCCAATTAATCAAATGCTAACAATACACCAAAATATATCCAACACACCAAAGTTATATCCATTTATGAAGAAAAGACAGAGCATACGCTGCAGATAGATGTTCCGTTTTGGTAATACACAAAGGACATATAATGCCTGCCAACTACAATCAGAGCTAAAGGAAGTAACACCCAGTCTTCAAAGACATTACTTAACCAAAGCATTTCATCTAAACGTAGAGCAGAATTTGATGGAAGAATAGTTGTTTCATCTTCACAAATTTAATGACATGTTATTTCAAGGACTAGTTATCTGGTATTACTCACTGTGTTGATAGAAGTATTTGACTTACAGTTGCAATGTAAATGCATTCTTATCTGAGATGGTATACATTCAATGTTGTAATAATTGTAAACAGCGGTTTTAGCTGACATTTGTTCATGTGAAAAGACACAGTAAATATAAGACTGCTAAGTTCTGGTATGAAAATTGTTAAACTGTATTTTTTTCCCTTAACAAATAGTTGACTTTGTATGATTATTTATTTACTGTCACTAATTCATCAATTACAAAATATGTACACAACTGGTTTGGATTAAAGGAATTACGTGATAAATTCCCAAGAGTATATCCAACAAGATGAAGCAACTTGCTTACTGGAAATAGATTCATCATTCTGGCAGAGAATATCTACAGTCAGTCGTTTCTCATAGCTGAAGGCTCTGTCAAAACATATTGGAAAAAATCCTGTTCCGACAAAAAATCCTAACTTTAATTCAGTAATAATACTGTTTATTAAGTCAAGTAAAAATGAGTCTTTCCATCCTACCCTTTCTATCATGAGCTTTGTTTGATTTTTGTTTTATTGATTTAACTGACAGGCTTCTAGATTTCTTTTTTAAAAGACTACTGTGCATTTCTAATGTTTTATTAATAATCAATGGTGAAACCAAAGTCTGTCAACCACAAACGTTTTAATTATTCAAGTCAATCAAGAAATGGCTCAAATGTATCCTTGTGAATCTTTTGCAGAAAGATATAAGGAGTAGATTTTTCTCCTTTTCATTGAAACTCATAGAAATATGGAACGCAGAAACCTGCTGTTCATAGCACCAAATGCTTAAGAATATGAGCTCATAAATAAACTAACATGGATTGAAATTATTATTTTTATGTAATAATTTTCAGTCATATAAGTCATATTTTAAAAGTCTTGTGTAGCACACTACTTTCTACTTTTAAAGTACCTGCCATCCATTGCTAAGTTAGGCAATTTTAAAAATATTTAACATTCTAAAAGCCTAAACACTCTATCAAGACAATATTTAACACTAATTTTCCAACAGATAATTGACCAGATTAGTCCTTGATCCTGAAAAGTTGTACATGTTTCAGCTAACTTAAATACAGGTATAAATCTTTATGGGCTCAGACATCCGAAATCCTTTCACAGAAGAAAACATGAAGAGCCCTTCACTGGCACAAACTGGATAATTCACTAACAACCAAAACCAGTTTAGATCAGAAAGACACCAATGAAGATTGAAGTGACAGGGTGAAAACAGGATGGAAAAGAACGAAACATCTCTGCAAGGGGAAAAAAAGCACTGAGCTGACAAAGAGCAAGCAGTAAGCAAGGCCGCTCTCATGTCTGGCCACATATGTCATTGTTTGGAAGATGACTGGAGACCTGAGCAAAACCTGAAACAGTGGCTTGAAGCTGACTATGACGTTGCCCCAGGGTCTGTGATGACTTAGGAGTTGTGTGAGCAAGTTTTGTAGTAGGTCGCCAAAAGGGCTCATGGAAGTCTGGCTTGTCAGTCAAGCCAAAGAAAGCCCTGCAGGAATGTCTGACACAACCCTACCAGAGGTCGAAGAGGCAGAATGATCTGTGACCTTATGCCAGCCTGATAATGGCAAACCCCAGCTCCAAAATCATCAACTTAATTTGCAAATCAGTCCTTAAATTTCACAATCTGTTTTATTCATCTGCGTCTGTGGACTGGTTTATTTAAAAACCTATCTGAGAAATGCCTAGAATATACCAAACCACCATGCGTGGGTGGCTTGAAGGTGGCAGCTTGAATCAGAAGAATGTAGTACTTGGCTTGAAGATGTATGAACACTTACGATGCATGAGAGAAAGCGTAAATACACTTTCAGAATTCACTAGCAGTTAAATAATCACAGCTTTATACAGAAAGATGAAATTGTTTGGTAATTTACAAAAACTAATTTATTTTCAAGATAAGTAATCCTCTTGTAGACTGAGAAAGATAGAAGACAGTTTCCCAGAAGACAGCAGCATACATTAAATGAACAGAACCAAAAAATTAATCTGGAACCTCATTTTTATAAAATGGACTCCACTTCAAAAGACATTCTGCACCTGGT